GCAAAATATCCAGTGTTTGAAGCTCCTTACCGTTGTCTCCAGCCTGAGTTGCCTATGAACTAACCGGACTAACATTCAGAAAACAGTGTATATATTCATCCACACATAACTGTCATCTAACTTTATGTAAATATGTGTATATTATTTCAGGTGCATTTTCATTCTATTTTCAACTATTCAGCAATTGCACACTTGCACTTTTAGCTGACTTATCATTATGTTTTTGTTTTTATTTATTTTCTCTAAAACTTTTTTATGTGTAGTAGTTCGAACGACTCATAACTAAACTCTCCGGCGCAGAAATCGCCGACGGCAATTGCTTTCCAGATCTTCCTGTTAAATCTTGTTTCTTTTTCTAAGTAAATAATACCATGTCTTTTCCACCTCTTCTCTTCAAGGGGAAACTTAAGCCAGGCGAGCAGGGAGTCAAACAGGTGAGCCCGGCAGATGTGGCAACACTGTAGATCTGTGGCACACTGTAAAGTCGGCGTGGAATGTTAAACTTTTGAATGATAAATCGTTCTTTCTTCTGTCTTCTGTATTTTCTTGATCTCTCCCCCACCCACCCCGCTCTGTTTTTTTGTTTTTTGGGATTGTGTTTGTTTTTTCCACCTCCCCCTCCCCCCCCACCTCTCTTTGATATATGTGAGACGCGTTTCTTAGTCTCTCAAATCTTATTTTGAATTCTTCTCGTTATCTGTCCAATTTTCTGACTAATATGAAAAAAAACATCCACTCAAGGATGGCACTGAACTGTTTGATTTGGTTAAATATTTATCTTTATTTTTTCTTATTTTCTCTCCTTTGGTTACTTCTATTTCTGTCTGAAAACCTTTGTCATAAAGTGATAATGACAATGGTTTGATAAAATAGTATTTGTCTTTTCTTTTTTCTTATTTTTCTTTCTTTCGTTTTGTTATCAATTTTCTTTTCTGTAAAAAGACAAAACAAGATCTTTGTCTCTATAATCAATGAATTAGTTCTGATATATTCAAACTTCCTCTTTACTTTTTTCTTTTCTTTTCGTAGACTTTTTTTTATCTTTTTGTTCCTTCAATGTGAGCATTTATTTAATTAAACACTTTTGATTCCCACAATACCCCAACGTGCCCTAAATCCAACATTTCTTCTGATAAAATCTCAACCTTAAAACAACAGAGTATCACAAATCTTTCTACTTTCCAGTGTTTTTTTAAAAGCGTGATCGTATTTAGGCTCAGGCACGTTCGTCTAGCTCGGCGTCATGTATCCGTGACGTCACGCTAGCCAGTTGCTAATCGTTCCTTTAGTCAGTGGCTTACACGAACGTGCCTTTATTTATGCCTTATAGTCAGACCTAAGATTCTTGCAGTAGCATTTCTTTACCATATCGGTTTGCTGGGTATTTGTAGACAAATAATCTTTGACATATGGCTTATCTGCTGTAATTAATCAGTTTTATTTGGCTGAGGCTTTATTTTGCCGAGCAATTATCTTAGGTCTAACACATTTATTTTCTTTACCTCTAAATCCTGCCGCAATCTTTTTACATAAACCTGAAAGAAACCGCTAAACCCCATTAAATAAAAACAAACAAAAAAAATACCAAAACCAAAATAAAAAAACAAACGATAAAAAAGCGAAGGCTTCTACTAAATTAGTTCTAAAGAGAGAATCCAAATTCACTTAAAAACAACAGAGCACCTCTTTCAGCGCATTTCGAAAACTTCAGACGGAAGCAGTCGGTCCTCCAGCTGTTCGCAGATGACCGAGCGTGGTCAGCATTAGACAATCCAGTATTATATTTTGTATTTAATATATTTCATGATGTCTTAACCCAAAACAACAAAGAAAAAAAATTCTAAAATAATATATACTCCTAAACTTCTAAAACTATGATACGAAACTCATTATAAAAAACAAACAAATACCAAAGACAACAATTTAAAAAAAAAGCCGTTATTTCTCTCATCTTATTTTGACCGTCTCTGGAATAATTTCGGTTGGCGCTTTTTCCTCTTTTGCAATATTTATTTCTGCGTTCGCGCGCGTTTTTCTTCTGTTCTTTCTTTCTAGAATTCATCAACCTCCTTCTTCTTCTTCGCTATGCTTTCTGCTCTTTCATATATAAAATACAAACAAAAAAAAAACGCACTAACAGACTACTATTTAACGTTTCCATCTTTAAAGAATAATCTTAAAAAGTTAATCTGCACAATCTCCAGTCCAGAGACAAATTATCACTTGATCTTATTTGCTAACACAGAGTCGCTTGAGACCAGGAGAAATTCTAGACGATGACCAGGTTGGGATAATGGAATCTTTTTTTGCTTTTTTGGGAATGACACGAGGCGCATCTCTCCAGCATTGCATTCTCTGTACCCAAGTGGCCAATGAGTTGCTCTTGAAAACGCACGTGTCGCACAGATACGACTTATTCACGCACAGTGCTTTGTTGACGCTGTAGACGTTGATGTAGAGCCATTGACGATGGGCGAAAGATGTTTTGCTTTTGTGGATCATTTATATGTGACCGTTTATTTGTATTTTTTCCACCCTTTCTCTCTAGAGCAGGTAATGTAAAGGATCAGTCTTGCTTTTAGAAGGCCGAAACTTAGTTCTGATGATATTTCGCAGCGTGGTAACTAGGAAAACGCAGTGTAGTTCTCTTCAGATGATCTTGAACGGCATTGCGAATTCTTGGTTTCCAGTTAATATATGTATTCACATCAAGGGAGTTCTTGCAAGAAATAAAAAAAAAACATCTTTCACTCTGTGGTTCGAAAACTGAATGGATTAAGCGTATATTGTACTGATTGACAAGCACTATTCGCTTTTACTGCCTCGCTACGTTACACACCCTCCCGAGCGTTGCCATGGCGGGAAAGAAAAATCGCGTCATTACACTCACTTTAAAGATTTCGTTGCAAAGAACGCCAGGGACCCTCAAAAACATCTTTCACTCTGTGGTTCGAAAACTGAATGGATTAAGCGTATATTGTACTGATTGACAAGCACTATTCGCTTTTACTGCCTCGCTACGTTACACACCCTCCCGAGCGTTGCCATGGCGGGAAAGAAAAATCGCGTCATTACACTCACTTTAAAGATTTCGTTGCAAAGAACGCCATGGCAACGCACGGAGGACGCTCCAGCACATTTATTCCAACAAAATGACCCCGCATGCGGCCGCCTCGTAGGCCTAAAAGTACGCACAAGTGTTTTCACTGATCATCCCTCATCTAAGCCTTCGGTAGAATGGAGGATCGGCGGGATATTTAAACTACTTGATTCTAAACTCAAAGCCATTCGATCCTCCATCTACAAGGCGTCGAACAAAAGACTATCGTTATACATTCACCTGATAATAAAAGAAAAATGCAAATAATGCAGTTCGTAGATATTTCTATTCGTAAAGATACTTTTGTTTTATCAGCACACGATTTTGCATCAGTATTTTAAAAGTTAAAAAAAAAACATCAGGTTAATGTACATGCAGGAATGAGAGGACTGATTGCCTGCAAACTTTAATGACTCATGACTTACTTAAGTTAAGTCTTAGAATATCTCTTGTGAATCTGTCTTCTATTCCTCCTTGTTATATGTATAAAGCTTCCGAGTGTTCCATATTGTGGGTTTATGTAGTCTAAGGTAGTTTAGTTCAGTAGCAGTTTATTTTCGTTAAACCGATGCTAGAAACTACATATGTTTTTTCTCCATGATGTTTTTTTTTTCTTTTTTGAATTTAGATGTTTGATTTTAAACATATTTTTCCTTCATTTTTTTCTTGATTTGACACATTTTGGATATATGCCTATATATACATTTGATTTGCTTTTTTTGTCAAATCCAAGAAATATCTTCGGTTTAGCGAATAATTACTAGTAATTTGTCAAGCGTAGATAATTCGGTAATCGTAGAATGTACATTTAAGTTGATGTGTTGATGTGTTTAACGTTCTTTTTTGTCAATCTAGAAAGATAGTACATTATATTCAATATAAAAAACAACTCTTCCCTGTACTCTGTTACTTCTTTCATGTACAACAGACTTTTAATTTCATATCGTGAAAATCTAAGTGATTTTTTGACAATGACGAAATTTCAAATCCATTTCGCGCATTGCAATTTCATTTCTCTGAAATTTGCTCATTCATTATTTAAAGGTAAGTTAAAAATGAATACATTTAATGTTCATCTACGAGTGACGAGATCCACGAGAATAAACCTCTCTTCCTCTTCTGTCTTTCGTAATCTCTTTTCCTCCTTAACCTCATCTCTCACCGCTATTTTCTTCCTTCCTCCCCTCTTAACGCACCCTCTTCCTCCCGAAACCTTTCTCGTGGATCTCTCCGTCCCGCCGCCAAGACGAGATTCTAACGTACCGTCTTTGCCGACTCCCCCTTCCCCGCCGCCGCCCGCGCCGTCAACAGCGACGTCGACCGAGCAGCGATGTCCGCCGTCCCTCGGTCCAGGACGACGAGAAGATGGACAAGCCGAGCACGCCGCTGCGCCCCATCGGCCAGCCCGGGCCCCCGTCCATCGTCGACGTCCAGCAGAAGTACACAGCCGTGGAAGGTGAGAGCCATGCTGGATCGGGATTTCCTCCTTGATTTTATTGGGTCTTTTCTTGAAATTCTATAATGCCTGTGGCGTATATTAGCGATATACTCGTTGCGTTCCTGATTTAATCGAGAGAAGAGTGCAAGAGTAACGCCGTGCCGTTCATTCCTTGCAGACCAGAACGGCTACATTGACCTCATTGTGGAGGGCAACCCACCACCCTCGATCAAGTTCTTCAAGGGCTTCACCGAAATCAATGAAGGCGGTCGCTACAAGGTCCACACGGACGGCGAGACCAACTGCGTCACGCTGTGCATCCGAAAGACCAAGCCCAACGACGAGGGCAGGTACAAGGTGGTGGTTTCGAACCAGCACGGAGAGGATTCCGCTGAGATGGACTTCTACGTCTCGGGTAAGCGCGGGAAACGGAGCCTCAAATATAAATCAGAAGAAAGCAGGTGCATGGAATTGATAACTTCATTAAAAAGGGTATCTGAAATAAGGAGAACGTGGTTGATATATACTCTTATTTGAGATAACCAAAGGCCTTCTCGACAGACGCCAGCGGCATGGACTTCCGTGCCATGTTGAAGAAGAAGAAGTACGCCAAGTGGAAGAAAGACAACGAGGACCCAGACTGGGGCGACCTCAAGGAGACCGAGAAGGAGCAGAAGCCTCAGCTCCGCAAGGTCGAAAGGGTAAGTTCCTGCAGGAGCCGACCTTTTCCCCTCCGTCGATGACCTTGGTGGCCTGACCTGCTGGGCATTTCACTTTGATTTCTCAACTCAACAGATGACCTTCGCTCTCGTCCGACCCTCCAGGGAAACACCGCATCACATCGCCGGATCCATAGATTTGATTTTCATGTTCTTAATGATTATTTGCATTTCAGCAAAGACCTTTCTTAGACGCAATCATCTGACCGAGTGACCTTCCTTCTTGGACATTCAAGGAGGATTTTAGACTCGACCTTACATAACCTATCCTTTAGGTCGCTTTTTGCATGCATTTGATTTTTTTAGTTTTTTAAATAGAAGCAGTGCTATATTTATTTTTATGGTTTACTTTATCATATAATGATGATAAGCTAAACAAAATAATAAATAGACTATAGTTACACATTTACTTAAATATTCAATATTGTAATAAAGAGTTTAATCAACTTTTTAAAAAGTTTTTTTTTTCACTGAGATATAGCGTAATTCCTTTGATTTCATTAATAGTTCTATATTAACTAATTCATATTCAGATTTTTATGTAGATCCTTCCCAATAGATTTTTTAACTCTTATAAAAAAAAAAAAAAAAAAAAAAATCTAACGTGTTCAACAACACACCTAAATAAACTTAGCAGCCCGACTGCACTCCTCAAGATCTCAAGCAAGAAGCAAGACCCGCAAGACTTTCCTTAAGAAGAGGCCTTAAGGCGTCCGCAGCCACAGCCAGCTGATGCGTCATCACCCTGGCGTGGCCTTGCGATCCCGAGGATTTCACTGACGTCACAGTCGACAGTTTGTTATGACATCATGACTAAAATGACTTGTCGTGACGTCATAACAGAAGCTCACTCGTTACGTCATGGTTCCCCTCGGCGATTCCGCGGCCATGGCGGGATGTGACGTCACGGCCTAGGGGGTAGCGCCATGTTGTTTTCACGTTCTGGGGTTGTGGGTTCCCTGCTAACTTGCTCTCTCCCTCCATTGTCTGGCGTGGTTGTCACGGACGCGGCCTCAAGGATCCGCCACAAGGCCTAAAACCACCTCCTCCTGGCAGTCGCAAAGGATCGCTCGCTGAGATGATTCCTGATTGGCCGACACTCCAGGCCGTCAAACGTAAAAGGGTAAACAGCAGTTGGATTGGACCCGGGCAGAACGCTAAGCCTTGGATCCGCATTTTATCTCTATAAAAAAAAGGATTCAATTCCATGATAATTAATTTGTACGGCTGTTATTTTTCTTTTTTTGTTTTACGTTATATTTAATTTTACGTCCACCTTTAAAAGCTTTATTTGTTGCTTTTACGTGCTTTTGTTTTTTGCTTTTTTTATCTTTTTCTAGATGTGATCAAATTCCCTTTTTTATCCGCTACTTATAAAACTGTCCCTTCTCCCAGACGAATTTTGAAATCCCATTCCGACGCACAATTTTGATATACTTATATTTGACCTCAATAATTTTACCACAGGCATAAATTTTAGCCCGATTTTTTCACATGTATATATGCTATTTGTATAGACATTATTAAGCGTTATAGACATTATCATGACGTTTCTTGATCTCCACTTTGATCTTCTTTTGATTAAGCGATGTTGAAGTACGCCAAGAAGAAACTAAACTTGGTCAGTTGTACATAATATAAAGTATTTTGCTACACTTTTCATGTAGCTTTTGATATTGGTCTATATTCTACTACAGAATGAAAGTGTTCTTGGATTCTTGCGTATTTTAGTTATTTGAATTGACTCTAGATGCTGCTGTACAACTCAGATTTCTGATCACTTTAAATCACTGAAAGTCACTGAAATTAAATAAAAACAAGAATTAGACAAGACTCATCCCCTTTTCGGTTAAGTCCCACCCCCTTGACCGATAGACTCCTCCCCCTTTTCGCTTACGGCTCGCCCCCTTCATCAATGATTGGTTCGCCTTGCCCCTCCCACCCTGACCCAAACACACTTCGAGGTTTGTGATTTGCTAACTCGCTTGTGGAGTGACCACGTGACCTCCGCAGCCACACCCACCGCCTCCGTCGCTCTCTCCGCCCTCAGCACACTGACGTGGTCTTCTCTCCTCCTACGCCCTCAGGAGACTGACAATCTTCGTAGAGTGTCATTAGCAGATCTTATTCCTGATTGGCCCAAACTCCAACACTGGAATGAGGTTTGACGAGTGTGTCGAGGTTTGGCACGCTGCAACATTTCGGTCTTTGGTCTCTTTCGTGGCTAGAAGTACCGACTAGCTATACCGTTAATATTTCCGCCAGTATTCCATCATAATTATTCTTGATTTACATATAACTTTAAATCTGAAGGTATTTAGAACATACTGATGGAATTAGGATGGTACAACAGTATTTAAAAATTCAAAATTTTTAAATTGATGTAACCACGTCTTAATTCATATTTCCTATCAAAATCTTAATCATAATTATTAAAACGACCCAAAATTCAACTCAAAACGAAACCACATTAACCCGAGCTGAAAAATAATCAATAATGATAAAAAAAACGTATTCTTTATCACTCAATAAACCGCCGCGCTTTAAGTCACTCTCTAAGTCTTCTCTTCATAAACACCAAACCCAAAACCTTGGTTAAAAAGATATTCTGCATGACTCTTAAAAATGTATCTTTTATATTCACTATGAATATATGTGAAATGCTTTTTCTTTTGCACATGCACGTAGTCCTCAGTGTCGTAAACCATGGACGCATCTTGACGGCAATGTATAAGACGCGTAGAACGAAGACCCTGTGTCATGAGGTCAAAAGAAAGAGCATAGTTACCTCAACCGCCATTACTCTTTCAGTTTCTCCATTTTCTAGACGTGGCCGGATGCAGGCATGATTTAAAATAAGGCATGTATGCATGTTTATATATCTATGATCTATATTCTCATGTGTATAATTTTGATATCCTGGGCAAATTACACCTGGCCCGAGCGTCGTTCCCAATTCGGGGATCTGTCGACCATTCATTCGTATCTGCACGTCCGCATGTCATATCTAGATGTGAATTAATCCTAAACTGTTCTTATACACACAGGTTGAGTCACAGCGTGATTCTCTGTGACCCATAGAGTTGGCATCAATTTATCTTTTGTTTTATGATATTTCTTTTTATATGTGATTGTTGCCTGATGCTCAATAAAGTATTCAGATCACTTTCCGGTTATAGATTGTCTTCTGTTTCAGCCGGTCTTGAAATCACAATCTTCATTGATATCACTGTCTTGATTAATTTGTTGGAGATTTTGCTATTAGAGATGTATTCTGACAAGACCTCTTGGTTAATCAATGTTAATGTACTCTACTTACTTAAAAAAAATATTCGTTTCATTAAGAAATGTGAATATGACAAAAGGCTGAATAACAGACCTCCTTCTCACGACTGACAAAAGAAAACATATTATACAAACGTTTCAGCATCATTATGTATGTGTGGAAGAGAGAGAGAGAGAGAGAGAGAGAGAGAGAGAGTGAGTGAGTTTAGTTTTCCTATGGTTCAAATACAGTCCGCTATACGTGCTTTATGAGTCGGAGCCTGAGATTCACGCCACCCTCCAAGTCCCTTATTCATCCGCCCTTCTCTCCCCCTCCCCCCCCACCTGCGAGCAGAAGGTCGAGTCTTGGGTCAAGCCCCTGGTTGACCTCACCGTCAAGGAGGGCAAGGACAAGACCGCCAAGTTCGAGGGCGAGTTCTCCAAGAAGGACTCAAAGGCCAAGTGGTTCTTCAAGAAGGATGTGAGTACGGTGTTCCCTTTTTGTTATTATAAGCTGTCATGGTCTTCCTACAGTTATGCATTTTGCTATTACTGACACAAGCCGCCCCGTGTCCCGTTCCTCGCATAACACCCCTTTGCCCGATCCACAGGAATTGTTCCCCGGCTCCAAGTACAAGTTCAAGGCTGAGGGCTGCGTGCACGGCATCACGATCAGCCGGCCCACCATGGACGATATGGGCAAATATACCGTGGAGTGCATGGGCATCTCCTGCTCGGCTATCCTCACCGTGCAGGGTCAGTGTCTGCCCTTGGCTCTGGCATCTTGTCTCTCTCTTTCTCTCTCTTTTTCTTTCCTACACTCTCTCTTCTTCTTTTTCTTCTTCTTCTTCTTCTCTTTGTTTTCTCTTTCTCCCAATATATCCATTATATATACATATTTTCTTAATCCAAACCACTGCGGTATAACAAACGTGAACTCGACAATAAACTTGAAATCAATAATGAACTTGAACTCCCCCCCCCCCACCCAGAACCCGACCCCGACTTCAAGTTCACGAAGCCTCTGCCGAAGAAGTCCTCGAGCTACACCGGCAAGGACGCCGTTCTTGAGGCTGTCGTCAACTCCCACAAGGCCATCGTCCACTGGTACAGGGGAGACCAGAAAATTGAGGTAAGGCCCGGCGTCTCTGCTGACTGTAAAGCTTTATGATGATATACCCTTTTTTTTCTCTTTCTTTCTTTCTTCTTCAGCATCTATTTTTTCTTCTCTTTCTTCTTCGTTTCTCTTTGGATTTGATTATGACTGTGACCACCTTGTTCCAGGAAAACGACAAATACGAGACGTACAAGGACATGACTGGCACGGTGCGTCTGACCATCAAGAAGGCCTCCAAGAAGGACAAGGGCAAATACACAGCCAAGATCTTCAAGGTTGAGAAGGAGTCCTGCGAGTGCAACCTCAACATTGTCGGTGAGTGGCTGACGTTAACTGGAAATCGACCGTAATTTTAAAGTTTCTAAGGCCTGTTACAAGTTTACTGTAATTTGAAATGAGTTCTAAGGTCCTTAAAAAAAAAGAACGTTTGGATTTTATTGCTTATGCTTGTCGCGTCTCCAGATCAACCGTTCAAGTTCACAAAGCAGCTGAGGTCGATGACCGTGACCGAGAACAACAAGGTCGTCCTGGAGTGCGAGGTCGACGAGGCTGAAGCTACCGTCGAGTGGTTCGCCGGCGAGAAGAAGCTCGAGTCCGACTCAGGGTAAGGTCTTAGGGCCTCTTGGATTTGCCGTGACTTGCCCCCCAACACACACGACCCCCTTAGCCCATACTCTTTGATGATGTTGTGATCAGTCATCTGTCCCCACACTTTATGTTCTGTTCAAGCCCTCGAAGTCCTCTTGATTCATGTGATGTATACAGCTTGCCATGGTATTTGTCTTGATTGTATTGATATACTGAACTAGCTTGCAGATACAGTATTGTCTCTTACTCTTTCACTTTTTTTCCTTCTTTTTGAATTTAGTCATTGTTGAATTCTTCACTTTTCTATCCATTTCCTTTTTTTTTCTTGTTACTGAATGTCTTCCTTGTTGAATTCTTGCCTTTACTGTCTTCTTTTCTACGTTTATGACACTTGCCTCTTCTTTGAACTATCCTGTATTTCGTAAAAGTAAGTGACATAACATGTTGAGTCTATGTTTTTGTCAAATAACAGTCACCTTTCTTTCCTAAAGTAATCCTCCGTGTCACTTAAGAGTCAGAATATGAATAGGTAAGAATTCCTCTTCCACTGTTTGTTTGTTTTTTATTACTTTCTTTTTTTCTCTGTCTTTCTTCCTTTATTAGTCTCCCATGTAGAATCTCTCTTTTTCTTTCCTACACTCTCTCTTCTTCTTTTTCTTCTTCTTCTTCTTCTTCTTCTCTTTGTTTTCTCTTTCTCCCAATATATCCATTATATATACATATTTTCTTAATCCAAACCACTGCGGTATAACAAACGTGAACTCGACAATAAACTTGAAATCAATAATGAACTTGAACTCCCCCCCCCCACCCAGAACCCGACCCCGACTTCAAGTTCACGAAGCCTCTGCCGAAGAAGTCCTCGAGCTACACCGGCAAGGACGCCGTTCTTGAGGCTGTCGTCAACTCCCACAAGGCCATCGTCCACTGGTACAGGGGAGACCAGAAAATTGAGGTAAGGCCCGGCGTCTCTGCTGACTGTAAAGCTTTATGATGATATACCCTTTTTTTTCTCTTTCTTTCTTTCTTCTTCAGCATCTATTTTTTCTTCTCTTTCTTCTTCGTTTCTCTTTGGATTTGATTATGACTGTGACCACCATGTTCCAGGAAAACGACAAATACGAGACGTACAAGGACATGACTGGCACGGTGCGTCTGACCATCAAGAAGGCCTCCAAGAAGGACAAGGGCAAATACACAGCCAAGATCTTCAAGGTTGAGAAGGAGTCCTGCGAGTGCAACCTCAACATTGTCGGTGAGTGGCTGACGTTAACTGGAAATCGACCGTAATTTTAAAGTTTCTAAGGCCTGTTACAAGTTTACTGTAATTTGAAATGAGTTCTAAGGTCCTTAAAAAAAAAGAACGTTTGGATTTTATTGCTTATGCTTGTCGCGTCTCCAGATCAACCGTTCAAGTTCACAAAGCAGCTGAGGTCGATGACCGTGACCGAGAACAACAAGGTCGTCCTGGAGTGCGAGGTCGACGAGGCTGAAGCTACCGTCGAGTGGTTCGCCGGCGAGAAGAAGCTCGAGTCCGACTCAGGGTAAGGTCTTAGGGCCTCTTGGATTTGCCGTGACTTGCCCCCCAACACACACGACCCCCTTAGCCCATACTCTTTGATGATGTTGTGATCAGTCATCTGTCCCCACACTTTATGTTCTGTTCAAGCCCTCGAAGTCCTCTTGATTCATGTGATGTATACAGCTTGCCATGGTATTTGTCTTGATTGTATTGATATACTGAACTAGCTTGCAGATACAGTATTGTCTCTTACTCTTTCACTTTTTTTCCTTCTTTTTGAATTTAGTCATTGTTGAATTCTTCACTTTTCTATCCATTTCCTTTTTTTTTTCTTGTTACTGAATGTCTTCCTTGTTGAATTCTTGCCTTTACTGTCTTCTTTTCTACGTTTATGACACTTCCCTCTTCTTTGAACTATCCTGTATTTCGTAAAAGTAAGTGACATAACATGTTGAGTCTATGTTTTTGTCAAATAACAGTCACCTTTCTCTCCTAAAGTAATCCTCCGTGTCACTTAAGAGTCAGAATATGAATAGGTAAGAATTCCTCTTCCACTGTTTGTTTGTTTTTTATTACTTTCTTTTTTTCTCTGTCTTTCTTCCTTTATTAGTCTCCCATGTAGAATCTCTCTTTTTCTTTCAATTCAAAACATCCGTTTTTCTCTGTGTTGATGCAGTGTTGCCCTCTCACAGGTCTCGCTTCTGTGATTATCTGCAGTCAGACAGGTAATTCATGTGCATTGTCACGAATGAATAACGTGGCCTTGGCATTTGTGACAATGTTTTGTTTCCGCTCACACCTACAGATTTCCGGGACTTAATGAAATGACTTGGCCCTGGCCAACCTGGCGACCGCTGCCACTACTTCATTTATATTATAATAAAATGTTATAAAAATCCAAGTTGGTGATTATTCTATATAAGTGTGTAAATAAACGTTTAATGAAACGATGGGTAAGCAGGAAGTAATTCAAACCACAATATAAATTTTATAATAAATCATGAATATCATTCCCTATTTCTGAAGAAGCTAAACTACACTGGCACCATCCCCTCTCTACTAGCATACCGCTGCTGCTTTTAAGCTTATATTTGCGAGCGTCTGACCACGTCAAGTGGCAAATAGAGATGACAGCTTGACGCATCAGCATCTAGACCTGCCAGTAGTCTGTACAGAACTCCAGGCCGCGATACACACAGCTGTCTTCTTTTGCCTTCCGTGACTGAGTCGAGAGTTTAGATAACCAGCTTCAGAATTGACTTTATGTTATAGATTTTCCTTATATGCCAGAGTTTCCATAGCTCTCCATTGTCAGCTCTTTGTTTCAAGTTCAAGGAGGAACGGTAGCCAGTTCGTATGTAACGCGGCCTACGCCTCACACCAGCAACTGTGGTGGATGTGGCACATAGAGTAGTTTCCAAAAAAAAGACAAAAAGAAAAGTACTTGAGCACGCACCTTCATGTGTGAGGAAATGGTTTGAAGGATTTTATTATAATTTACCATGATTTTTTGTATAATATTTCCTACACGATTTTGCAAACTTTGTGAGGTTGAAAGACATACTATTGTTTCGCAATTTCACACCATTCTCGGAGGTGGGAGGCAGAGGCGTTTTCGTGGCAGGTGGGAGACACTCGCTCTCACTCGGCCTCGAAGTCCTAACACAAGGCTAATGTCCCCCTCACCCTCAGCGCCAAGATCATGAAGGACGGCAGGAAGAGGCAGCTGGTCTTCAAGAGCATCCAGATGTCCAATGCTGGCTTCTACACCTGTAAGACGAACGCTGACGAGACGACGTGCGAAGTCATCGTTCAGTGTAAGTATTCTTGGAGTTGTGGCCTTTAAGCGAATCTATGACAGACACAAATGGTAAAAAATGGGAAAACAGGAGAAAAGAATAACAAGTCATTGATTATTTTCGCATCTGTTTTCAATAAATCCGCTAAAAAAATGTTCAGCGCACGTACGCGAGTTCAGAGTCGGATAGATAACGGAAAAGCTATTCCCTCCGACAGATGAAAACAAGTTCAAGAAGAAGCTGCAGGACGTGACCTCGTTCGAGCGCCAGCCCGCCCACTTCGAGTGCGAGCTGGTCGACCCGAACGCCCCGATCCAGTGGTTCGTGAACGGCAAGGAGGTCGAGAACTCGGATATCTTCGAAATCAAGAAGGACCGCGGAATCCACAGACTCATCATCAAGGAATGCGCCGGCGAACACGAAGGCGAAATCAAGGTGAGGCGACCGGCTTGTTCTCACTCCAATTTCTCTTCTCTTGATATATAATCAAACTTTACTCCTTCAGTACTTGCCACGTATATCTAAGAATAAAACCTATTACAATGTCTTTTGAATCATGGTGTCCCCCTCAACCCAGGTGGTCTGCGGGTCTCTGGAGTGCTCGTGCCAGCTGAGCGTGGGCGAGGGCGAGAAGCCACCCAGCATCAAGCCCGAAGAACCCATCGAAGGCCCCGTCACCAAGCCTCTGGTCTTCGACGTTCCTTACACAGGTGAGTGATTCCGAGAGGCTCAGTGGGGAGAACTGTGAGGATTATGTGGTTCTTCTTATAAGGGAGGTTAGGCTTATAGAGATGTCGGGAGGAACATAAAGGAAATCTTATAATAAGTGATTAGATAAGAAAATGGAGGAATGCAATCAATGTTCAACAGTCTCACTCTTTAAAGCTAGAATAAGAAAATCAGTTACTCAGTAACCTAGAACATTTATATGAAATGTGCAGTCTTCCCTCAGATCGTAGATTCTACCATACAAAAATATCACCCATTAGACTAACACCCAACTCCTTCTCCCAGTGCCCGGCGCAAGGATCTCTAAGGTCGACGCCAAGCTGCTGAGGGGAGGCAAGCCCATCCCCATGAAGGAAGTCGAGGTCAATATTCAGGATAAGAAGGTCACCTACACCATCAAGAAGCCCTCTAGGGACCAGTCCGGCAAGTACACCATCAAGATGTCCAACAAGGCTGGCGAGAGCAGCAAGGAGGTCAAGATCAACATGCAGGACCGCCCGAGCCCGCCCACGGAGATCGAGGTGAGTGCGGGAGCGCGTCTGGATGAGTCCGAGAGGTGATAGGTTCATAAAGCGAAGCACGCTGGATGTTCTGCCTAAACAGTGAGGCAAACCATTACAGTATCTCTTCTTTAAATATCGGAACAGTAAATGGAACTTAGCGAGACTTTTTCAGTGCAATAGAGTTGTGTGTTTACGTATGTATGTGTGTGTGTTTGTGTGTGCGTCTGTGTGTGGGACCGCGTGTAGACAAACACAAAGAAGACATATCAGTGTCGAAGTCACACTCCCCTTATACACGCTCCCTGTGTCTTCGCCCCTCACCGCCCCCTCTTTACAGGTGTCGGAGGTCTTCAGCACCTCCTGCGTGCTGACCTTCAAGCCCCCCAAGGACGACGGTGGAATGGCTCTCACCTACTACACGGTGGAGCGCCAGGACTTCTCCGTCAAGGGTGAGTGCGACGGGCAGGGGGGACGGAGGGAGAAACGAATGCGGACGAGGAGGTTTTCTGTAGATGATAATGTTTGTCACTTGCTGTCTATCTGTAGTTCTTATCGTTTTCTTTCTCTATCTTTTCTCTGTTTATGAATTCTCAGTCGGTGTTTGTGTCTCAGGTTTTGTTTTGTTGGAGAAAGTGGTCTGTGGTTTCTGTGTTGCTATTCTATAGACGTTTTGTTTTGTCTGATACGATATATTTTTTGTGTCTTAAGTATTGCTTTGTTTTATAGTGTATTCCATAGTCGATTTGTTTGTTTGTTTTCTTTTCAGCATTTATTTTTTTCTTCAAATATAGGTTTAGCATGGTTTTCTTGCCCAAATACCATTTTTGGGAATTATATGTAGTTGTGAGTCAATAAGTCAAAGTGTTTTATAATTTCATCATATAGTATTTTTCTTTTTGAAAGGCAATAGTATGATGACACAGGATTTGAAACAGAATAAGTCTTCTCAGAGTAGTGTTTTTTATGATATATTTTGCTCCAAGACCGCCCCTGTGTACATCAAGGAAGGCGAAACGAGAGAAAAAAAAACTATTATCCATTTATTTACAAATAACTTTGATTGTCCATTCTGTAGAACTGTAAATTCAGACTTCTGACGGTTTGCACAATTTCAAAAGATCAATCAAAGTCTACGAGAGATCGTTTTAAATATGTGGATATTAGACAGTAGCATGTAGAATAAGACCCATGATCAGTATTCGTAGCAGAGGAGTTAGTGATATTTAGATCCTTTAAAAAAAATCTGCTACAAATGTGACCGACTGGGTGAATAGATTTGATCGTATTCTTCTCTTTGGGCTTCAGAGTAATAACTGATTCAAACACTGTCTTGAATCAGCATGGAAAAAAAAATAGCTCCATTTTAGAGAATCCAATCCTCCTACGATCCAGATTCCACCATCCGCCAAACCTTTATCCTTACTCCTCATAAAAAAAATCCCAATTCCCGATAGGCCTATCTTTAAGTGAGCTCCTAAACTCACTTTGCTTACATTCTATTTCCTCTCCCAACAGCGTCACATCCGCATATCTGGGAACGAACAGGTACAGTGTATACACTAACCCACTGCAAGTCCTGTGGCCTGAGTCGCAACCTTATACATAGACCTTGACTGTTGTCTCATCACTGCGCCTGAAGCGAGATTATTAGTGATTTGAGGGACTGGACTTAGCTAGGTCAATTTTTTGAAAGCCTTGTTACGGGCATTGTTTTCAGTAGTTAATTCAAATGAAAATTCTGGTCACTGACATTTATTCAATTATTGTTTTTAATATATTCCTCGTAATAGCTGCTATGTGTCAGGGTTACACCTGGTCTGTAGAGTTATTAACTTCAAGCCTATTAAGTTTTAGCTTTGAAGTTATTGCTACTTTTTCCGCAAACAGTCCACAACTCCTCTCGCTGCGGCGCCCTGAAGATGGCAACAGACGATTAAACATCTTAAACTCTTTTCAGCAAGATTTAAATCAACAGGCCAGCAGCCAAGACGATTTTCCACTTTAAATAATATGGAGCGAGTTTAAATAAAACGTCTTTCCCCCAAAAAAATACAAAACAAAATAAGGAAGAAATTCTACCGTGCGTTAAATAAACGAACGTCTTTATTATTTTACATAAACTGAAAACTATATTTCTTAATGACATTCTCTTCTCTTTAAATCATCATATTTTTTCTTCTCATCAAAATACCAACATTCGTAAATCATCAAATAGTATCTCTTAGTTTTAATATATGTACGTCCAACTATTTTCATTAATATAACTTGATATAATACTGTAGAAGAGATAGCGTGAAGTCTAATTTGATCAATAACTTTTTTATACTTTTTTTTACTTTAATTTTGCTTTTTGTAGCTCTATAGTCTACGCAGAAGCCAATTATTTTTTATTTTCATAATTTTGTAGAGCTTATAAGCATGCTCGCCGATACCGATCGAACCTGATAATAGATACGGCTATTTTTACGAGAAAAAAAAAACGCTTGCATGAGGAACCGATGTTCAGTGTGGGATATGACGCATATATGCTGACGTCTTTTGATGTATAACGTTTTGTTTTTGCTTTTATATACAAACCCATTTTTTGAATAAAATATGACACTAATGCACTTACTATTTCAATATATATATATATATATATATATATGTATATATATATATATATATATATATATATATATATATATATATATATGTATATATATATATATATTTATACATATATATATATATATATATATATATATATATATATATATATATATATATATATATAAGCATATATATATATATATATATATATATATATATATATATATATATATATATTATATATGTATATACATATATATATGTATGTATGTATATATATATGTATGTATGTATATATATGTGTATATATATATATATATATATATATATATATATATATATATATATATATATATATATATATGTATATATATATATATATATATATATATATATATATATATATATATATATATATATATATATATATATATATATATATATATATATATATAACAGTACCAGTACTTACATAGATTTTTGCACATGCTCGATACAGGACGAGCCATAAACGTGACACACCCTCCGACTTGACATGCGCCCCCTCCTCGCACACACACACCGCATGACTGCTTGAGATCATGGTGAGAGTACAAGCATTGCTCTGCCCGAACCCTGTAGCGTTCGGCCTTCCATCCGGAACAAGAGCACATACTTTACTTCATACATGACGGATATACGTTGTATCTCATTTACTTTTGGATATATAAATGGATACAAGAACGATTCTAACCTCATAAATCGATGTGGCTTTTGTCTCCAACATAGCCATTAAACCATGGACATAAACTTCACTTCATATTTGACCAACGATCTTGTTTCTCTCTTAAATATCATTCAAAAGCACAGGGTTTTTCTTACACTTGAATAAGTTATGCTTCACACAAAAGTGAGCACAGTAAGGCAGTCATTTTGCTAGCGACCGTATGCACATTTTCTCTTTGAAATATCAATTACTCTTCACATTTGTAAGTTGATTCCTATTGACTCATTTTGATCTTAGACTATCTTAATTTAACTGGAGATTTGTAGTCCCGTGCATTTGGTCGTTGGCAGACGAAATGTCCCACGGGCCTGACCCGCACAAGACATAGTACAGAACAGTCTACTTGTCTTATACTGTCTTTCAATTTTACTTTGCACTGTCGATTACTGATTCACTTATGTTATTGCTAATTGCACTCTATTGGTGACAAGACGATAACATGTTAACTCATATAAGTTTTATATATCTGGCCTGGTGGCCTGACTCCTTTATACTAATGCGTTCATGTTTATCTATAAACACAATTTTAACAGTTCTCAAATATTAGTCAACAATTATAGTTAACAATTTAAGTCAAAAATACATAATTTCAATGAATTTATATCTAGCACTTTCTCTTGATGTAGTCATAGTTAATACCACTTACGTAGAGAATACTAGCAGATTATTCTAATCACAACTAGATAGTAAGCGTATCAGATGAGAACCTTTTCTTCCATATTCTTGTAGGTCTGAGTATACTCACTATTGACTTATAGGTTCTTTACTATTCTCTTCGACCAGAGACATTCTTTAACAATGTCTGGAGACGAATTGACCTTTCTTCACTGTGAGTTAGTCGACATTTAAGATCTATCTTCTGCTCATATTCCTGTGCTGATTTTAGGATAAAGACTTCTAAAATGGACATGATATCAATCACTTCATCAGAGGGCTTCCTACTGACTGCTTCTACACCACACGCGCTGATAAGGACGGCGGAAACGTAGATGTTGAGAAAGCAGAATTGAGAAGGAACACAAAAATCATTCTTGTACAGGGATTGATTACGTTCCGATTTCGAATTCGACGCGCAACACTCGCTCTTACGTATGCTTGCACAGCGAACAAGAAACGCGTATCTAACGTAGAATTCCATGCGCTATACACTCCGCTTCATTGTAGAAGATAAAGAAGAATATATATATTTTTTTTAAATCGATACACACGCACCACGCTAACGTACCTCCTTACCCACCATACACACTCAAAATTCCAACCGCCCCCTACCCCTTCTTCATCCCTACATGATCTAATCTCTTTGCCGCCATGACCTCGTACAGGAGGATGGGCCCAGGTCACGGAGATCCCCGCCGACGAGCCCCTCCGCTTCAAGATGGAGGACCTCGAGAACAAGAAGCAGTACAAGTTCCGAGTCACCGCCAGCAACAAGCTCGGAGCTTCGGATCCTGCCGTTTACCCGAAGGTCGTCTTGGCGAAGGATCCTTGGGGTGAGTTGGGCCTTATTGATACTTTACGCAGGAAGAATTCGTGGGATTCGTCTTGAATGATTGTAGTTTTGTCATTATTGTGATAATAATTGTTTATTGAAATCAGTATCGTGATCACTATTACCATTGGCATCCTCCTAATCGGCATCATCCTCACAATGCAGATGAACCCGGCAAGATCATGCACGTTGAGGTGAATGACTGGGGTCCCGAGCACGCCGACCTGCGCTGGTCGAAGCCCGAGACCGACGGTGGCTCGCCCATCACAGGCTACGTCATCGAGTTCAGGGTATGTGCCCCGTGACGTCACTGCGGATCTCATTTTTCTTTTTGTTGACTTTCTTTTAAGTTGATCTTAGTTTGTTTTTTTTCGTCCCATTTTTTATTTCCTGCCAAGCATTTTTCTTTTTATTCCTTATACATATATATATATATATATATATATATATATATATATATATATATATATATATATATATATATAATTCCCTTTCATGTGGGTGATTTTCCTAGCATTCCCACTTTTAAGTTTGTTTGTTTTTTTTATTCTATCCTCCTTTTGTTTTTTATATGATTTTTAACGTTCTGGAAAGGGGACTGAGAGACACTCTGCCTAACCAGCCGTGAAAATAAACTGACATCTCCTTACTTCCTTTTGAAAATATTTTGTTTTTTTGTTTTTTGTTTTCCACAAACCAAACCTTTTATCCGAATTTCTTGTGCAAGAAATATATTTTTTCCTACCAGAACCTTACGTTTTTTTAATCAATTTCTCTCCTTATATTTGTTGTCTTATATTTGTTCAGTCATTTCGTTTTGTAACATATATTACATAATCACGACCACATATATTGTTTAAATAATGAATCACATTCTCTCAATATTGTATTGACCATTTGATATAACAAATCAAATTCCTTGTCTCATATACTTATAAATGATGATTTGGATATCTTACTTATATATCAAATACATGACATAACCTCAATACTGTGAATAATGTCTATCGTCTTGTCTTGCCCTAAAAATGTCTGTCAGCATTCACTTTAATGTTCTTTGTCGTCCTTGAACTTGCCCAGAGACACAACAATATACATAATCCTAATTCTTGTCTCAACTGGATTGCCTACTTTCGAAGCAATCCAGGATCTTCTCACTCGATATGTGTGTTAGTTAATTAGTAAATCCTAGTTTCCTTAATCAGTAATCTATAGCATCTAGATTGTTCAAATTACATTTAGGCAAAAATAAATCTTCATAATTACAAATTCGATCGAGTGAGGAGCGTCCTGTTTGTTATTGTTATTGTGTGCCTGATATCCACGTGTTCCCATAACATGTTACGAACATGTTTACCGTTATCTACAGACTCGCGCCATGCCAGAAGGCGGGGAGGTGGTAAGGCTCCAACTGGATTTAGTATGTGTAGCGCCGTTACGGCCTTTCGCTTTCTGTGACATATGGCCCAGAGATTCGGAAATAATAACGACCCACGATGTTAAACCATTAAGCCCATCATATAGTTTTAAGTACCCATTAAAATATATTATTAAGACATCCAGTGCCTTGCAATGGTAAGTTGAATCTCCTCGGCCATATTCTATTAAAGTGAAAGCCGCAACATCGCAACAGAAGCCGTAAAGCCTGCTTCTGTAGTTCGTAGCAGCCTGCTACCGATCTGTATTAGGGAAAACAAACAAACGTGCTTTTGTTTATTTTACGATACAGATCTTTTTCAAGTACTTATGTATTGTATTATACTGTATATCTCCTTTAAACACATTTGGTATATTTACAGTCGTAAAATTAAGGCTATTTAGTATATACCAATATGCTTTAATATGCTAATTTAATTAACATTAGATTTAACATTTAGCCCTCCACAAATTAGTATCTACTTTAATCACAAAGTTTATTTATCTAAATAAAATGACGCTATAACCTTTAAATAATCTAAACCATGACATAAAACAACGAATCTCCAAAGATGCACACAAGCATTTCCTTAAAAACACACAAATCATAATGATGTTGAAAACGAATTTATAAAACACAGCAAAAAGTTTGGAGTTCGCTTCTAACACTGATTCCAAATAGGCTTGATCGATAAAGGGTTGGCAGTTTTATCAGTAATTCAATATTTAGTTACTCTTTCTTTCATATTTATCAGCTTGTCTCTTAAATAATGCATTTCTCTCTCCGTAAATAAAATGTATTTTGATCACGTCGATAATTAACATAACAATAGATATTCAGTTATTGAGTCAAATCACACTATCGATATATCTTACTAATTTTATCTTAAATACATATATTTCTTGTTCATTATTCAAAATTTACGAAAGATTAGGAAAAAACAATTTATCCAAACACTTCGAGTAATAATCTTAAACGCATTCAAGCTCTCGGAACGAGCTGGAAACTGGCTCGGTTTCCCTTGCCACTTTATATACTACTTGCTCTAACGCCTTTCCCTTCGGCGACGTCCCCTTCAGGACCGCTTCAGCGACTGGAGCAAGGGTATCGAGATCCAGGGCGACGTGACGGAGGGCACCATTCCCAACCTGAAGGAGGGTAACCAGTATGAGTTCCGTGTCAGGGCTGTCAACAAGGCAGGTCCCGGTGAACCCTCTGACCCAACCAAGCCTATTCAGGCTAAGAACCGCTTCGGTAAGTTTTTGTTTTTTTTTTCATTTTCTTCCTCTTATTTATGTTTTGTTCTTACTTTTCACATCCTTCTCTTTTCCCTCTCTCTTTCTTTCTGTCTTTTTAATATGGATGGCACTTCCTCTCTTTCTCTATTGATATTGTGCTAATTCCATCCACAGTCTGATATTTTTTCATGAATGTCCAACACATATAACAATCTGCAGCCCGTCACACAGCCACACAAATTCTGAAACTTCAACGCACCATCATTCTTACCTCACGTCCTTACCTCGCCAACAGTGAAGCCCTACGTCAAGAACAAGGAGGAGTTCAAGAACATCGTGATCAAGAAGAGCCAGCTGTTCAAGCTTGATATCAAGTACGGTGGTGAACCCGAGCCGAAGGCCATCTGGAAGAAGGACGACAAGGAGGTCATCCCCGACGAGGAGGAAAGGTGAGTGCCGTCGGGTCGGGGAGAAGAGGGGAAGGGGATAAAGGGGGGAAGAAGGGTGCAGGATTAGGAAGAATGGTGGGGAAAGTATGGAAAAAGGATGTGCAGTAAATAAGAAGTGGGGAATACCGATGGAGGATTAGGGAGAATGTGTGAAGAATGCCGTTCTTTGTTGATGGTGACTGAACCTTATGTCAAGCTCAAGTTTAGGAGAAATTTGATTTACCTCTTAGGGTTATGCTAAAAGCAATTCTAAAGATCGTGATATAAGTGAGACTGAAATGAAAGAGAAAGCCAGTTATTGAAGAATGGACATGTGGATGAAAGTACAAATGAGCATGGGAATCGGGAGGTGAAGGTACTGCCAAAAATGAGAACAGTGATGAAATAGGTAAGGTGGGGTTCGCCTTATCCCACGAGGAACATGACTGTGTATGAAATTAAACCCGGAAAAAATATAGACTTTTATAACACTGGTATATTGTATCAATGGAGATATATATGACTTAATTATAATATAAAATTCTTCCCAAACTTAAAAGAGAAAAGAGACATAATCCACAAAGAACAAGTTATAACAGGATTGACATTATACGGGGACTCTCCGGGTAGCGTTTAGTACCCGAGCAGACTCTGACCTTTGTTAAATGACCTTCCTGTATAAACCTCATTTTAATTTGACTTTTAAGAACAGTAGACAATGCTCTCTTATGTGACTGATTGATAAATACGTAAACCGTTTCCTTCCAGGCTACCAGACCCTTACAACTGTAGAAGGTGACCGAAAACCTCTGGTTCTTTGACCGAAAGCACCTGGTTCTTCTAAGACAGAATAAAAAGTGATATGAGCCTTTCTTTTCTGGAAAGCTAACACTCGTAGATGATTTTTGAGGTTTTTATTTTTATTTTTTTTTTTATTTTTTTTTTCCCTTTTTAAATAAATGAGTCATCTAAAGTTGAACATTATTTTTATACTGCCACGGATAGCAGTTATACCCATTTTTCCATCATAGATGACTATATTTTTGAGGTATTGAGATTCCTCGTTTTTTGTACATAATGTATAGTTGTTGGCGAAGTTCTTGTGTGAAGAAGAACTTCTCGCTTTTATTCTGTCTTAGACATTTTTTTTGATCACGTCAGATTGTGAGTGAAAGTGGCGCGTGCTATGAGCATGAGCGCCTCTACTTCATCTCACAATCATGAGATCAGTGACTAAATATATGAGGCCAGCCCCATTGCCCTCATCACCCCCGTCGTGATGACGCAGAAGGAAAGATCTCGACCTCTTTCGTTCTCCAAGAATAGGAAAAAAAACAGCTGATTGAAGGTTTTATTGTGACAGCTGCTCCTAGTCGCGTGTGCATGGGAGGCCGGCCTGAGGACTCACGATTAGGGAGTGTGGCTCAGCTTAGGCTTCCTACTATTTTCTCTTTTTTCTTCTTTTTGTCGCTCTCTGCTCGGAAAGTATTATCGTGTTCTTCGCTCAGCTCTTGGCGCGAGAATTGATCGCAGCGGCTTTGCGTCTAAGGCGGTCTCGCCCGGCTGCCCTAGGCCAAAGCCTCGTGCCCAAGGCTAACCCACTTGCAGCACCCGTAGCCTGCTTGGAGCTTGAACAAGGGTGGAGTTGTAGATGGAGATGTGAAGAATGCCGTTCTTTGTTGATGGTGACTGAACCTTATGTCAAGCTGCAGTTTAGGAGAAATATGACTTTGATTTACCACTTAGGGTTATGCTAAAGACAATTCTAAAAATCGTGATATAAGTGAGACTGAAATGAAACAGAAAGCCAGTTACTGAAGAATGAACATGTGGATGAAAGTACAAATGAGCATGGGAATCGGGAGGTGAAGGTACAGCCAAAAATGAGAACAGTGATGAAATAGGTAAGGTGGGGTTCGCCTTATCCCACGAGGAACATGACTGTGTATGAAATTGAACCCGGAAAAAATATAGACTTTTATAACACTGGTATATTGTATCAATGGAGATATATATGACTTAATTATAATATAAAATTCTTCCCAAACTTAAAAGAGAAAAGAGACATAATCCACAAAGAACAAGTTATAACAGGATTGACATTATACGGGGACTCTCCGGGTAGCGTTTAGTACCCGAGCAGACTCTTTTTTTTGCCCTTTTTAAATAAATGAGTCATCTAAAGTTGAACATTATTTTTAAACTGCCACGGATAGCAGTTATACCCATTTTTCCATCATAGATGACTATATTTTTGAGGTATTGAGATTCCTCGTTTTTTGTACATAATGTATAGTTGTTGGCGAAGTTCTTGTGTGAAGAAGAACTTCTCGCTTTTATTCTGTCTTAGACATTTTTTACCCTTTATTTCGAATAATTCTCAGACTCTGGCTTTTTGACAATGGTTAACACGTCTCACCACCTTTAAACCATTTTTTACTTTTCCTCTATTTTCCACGATAAAGCACACTAGTGACATATCACACGTAACAGACTTTGAGACGGTAGTTCTAATACTGAGAACAGGCGTTGGTGGTTTGTGGCGTGACACTTTTTCTCTTAAATCTACTCTTCAACTAGTTGTTCATCAAAATTATACTACACTGTTGACTAATACGAAACAAACCACCAATGCAGTAGTTTTCTGACTGACTTTCTGTGATTATAAAACAACAATTTTTTTGTTTTCTTGTCATCAGAAGGATAAATAGACACAGCTGCCGCATTAAAAATGATCAGCATATCTATTCTGAACTCCTTTGGCGAGCTTGTTCTCATAGATGGGTCTTGATCACGTCAGATTGTGAGTGAAAGTGGCGCGTGCTATGAGCATGAGCGCCTCTACTTCATCTCACAATCATGAGATCAGTGACTAAATATATGAGGCCAGCCCCATTGCCCTCATCACCCCCGTCGTGATGACGCAGAAGGAAAGATCTCGACCTCTTTCGTTCTCCAAGAATAGGAAAAAAAAACAGCTGATTGAAGGTTTTATTGTGACAGCTGCTCCTAGTCGCGTGTGCATGGGAGGCCGGCCTGAGGACTCACGATTAGGGAGTGTGGCTCAGCTTAGGCTTCCTACTATTTTCTCTTTTTTCTTCTTTTTGTCGCTCTCTGCTCGGAAAGTATTATCGTGTTCTTCGCTCAGCTCTTGGCGCGAGAATTGATCGCAGCGGCTTTGCGTCTAAGGCGGTCTCGCCCGGCTGCCCTAGGCCAAAGCCTCGTGCCCAAGGCTAACCCACTTGCAGCACCCGTAGCCTGCTTGGAGCTTGAACAAGGGTGGAGTTGTAGATGAGATGGAGATGCCTTAGTGCCCAGCCAGCAGTGCATGTTGATTATTATGTGTTAGGCAAGATATTGCATGTATATACAGAGAGGCTACTGTACATAGTTTTATTTTCATTTTCTTAAGTTGCAAAACAGAAATACAATTTAATTTAGAAGTCAATGTTGTTGCATTATTATTATTATTATTTCATTTTTACACACATCACTTAGCTAGGCCAGACCACAGCTTATGTCAAGGGATTCTTGATACGATTCCTCAGCAAATGAGTCTCTAAAAAAGGCAGAGGAATTGTTTGCTACAAGAAATGGTCAAGCTTTTCCTGGCAACCGTTTCTTATTTACTGAGGAATTATATTTCGAACTATCCCCTGTTGTCGTGTGTGTTTAAAGTCCATGTCTCATACAACGACTAGCATTGTTTGCACACACACACACACCTTAGAAATCAGCTTCTTTGTCTCCATACTTCTTAGAGATCTATCGATACTGAAGTACATCACACTCCTTCCGTCTACGAAAAAGTTTCCCCTTAAAAAAAAGGACCGAAAACATAAGGTACTTCCCTCAATCAGATTCCGCCGAAAAAAAAATATGACAATCAGCAAATTCATGCAGCTCCCCTCCCTCCCCATTCATCCGAAAGTAAGTACAGAATCTAACGATTTATCCACGTGGGTAGGATCACCATCGAGCAGTATGAGCGCAACACCGTCTTCACGCTGAGGAAGGGCGTCCGCTCCGATACCGCCAAGTACAAGCTGTGCCTCTCGAACTCCGTCGGCGAGTGCGAGGAAGTGGCTGACGTCGTTGTCCTCGGTAGGTGCTCCTCTGCTCCCTGCTGATATTTCATAAATATTTCGTAAATATTTCGTAGTCGTGTAGGTGTTGAATGAGATCTTCAAGACTAAAGTTCGGTGGATATTATATCTGGAATTCAGAGTATTTGTTGATGTTGCTTACAGTTTTTAATGGATCAATTTGCGCCTTAAATGAATAAAATCATTTTTTCCCGATCTCCGTGACCGAAAATCATTCTCATATTAAAGCCATTTTAACCTACATTCTCCCGGAATTCACTCTACTTTTAGAGTCACTTTAATTTACATTTTCTCCGGTCACTCTACTTCCCCAACCCATTAATTATTAATCCTCTCTCACAAAATCATATAAACTGTATAATTAGTAAGCCTTCTCTCCGCCGCTCAACAGCCAAGCCCAACCGCCCCGAGGGACCACTCTTCCCTGAGGAGATCCGCGCTGACCACGTCAAGCTCAAGTGGAAGAAGCCCAAGGATGATGGTGGTCTTCCCATCGAGGGTTATGTCATCGAGAAGATGGACATGGACACCGGCACATGGGTTCCTGCTGGAGAGGTGAGTCTTGTGGTTCGTCTTGGTTCTCTCCTTCCAACATGGCGTCTACGGTTTCCTTCCGTGTGTTTAGGATTTCTTCTTCATTTCCTGAAACAATGTAGACGATAAAGAATACCTTAATACCTACAAAATAGTTCGCCTTATCTCTGTCACTTACTCACATACAACTTCTCTTGCAACAAAAAGGTATTTTCGGGCATATCAAAGAACCTTCATAGGTACTGGTATACTCGACCTATCATAACACAGGGAATAAACACTTAACATGATATCCACCTTCCTTCAGAATTCTCAGCCATTATTCCTTATCTTTGTACCTCTCTGTGTCCCTCTGTAATCCCTGAAAGACAGGGAATGACCTTCCTCTGACGCCCAACTCACACGGACAACCCTGACCTCCCCCACACACCTAGCACGTAGCGTGAACATGTCATGTTCCCTCCCACAGTACATAGCCAGGCCTGCAAGCATTCCTCTCACGGCCACACAGGGCTTTGTGGGCGAAAAGGAATCGAAGGACGCCTCGGAGCGCAAGGATCCTGGGGCTTCTAAGGGTTGCAAAGGCCTTAAGGTGGCCGAGGAGCCCCAGGAAGCCGTGTTTTACGTCCAGGTATTCTTTTCTAGACGTGGCGCTTATATCCTGCACCTTCCGTTGTCGGGAGTTGCGTTCTATTTATTTTCTCCCTGGCAAAGTATTATTGAGGCTGCATATTTTGGTAATCAGAGTAAAATTATTAAAAACTGACGTTGAAGAAGTTGGTATTGGCATTGGTACTGGTATTGGTATCGGTAGTTATACTTATTGTTGATATTCATTTTAAGAGCCTGCCAGAGTCGGTGCTCCGTATCTGGTGTGAATCATTAACTCAGGCGTTCTGTATTTTGTTAAAGTACTCATTAACATCTTCTCATACCAAGTAACTTGTAATAAGTAGACACTAAATAACAACATGATTGACGTAAATCATAACACAACAGAATATCATATATTCGTTGAAGTTAAACTTTAACCTGCATTAAACACTATAAGATCACATTCCGATAATCCCATTATACTACACAGTTAGTACCCACATTCGTTCCCAACGTTAATACGAAGTTACCGTCTAAGTGCGGGCCATAGTAAAAGGAATTCTTATTGACCTCGTGTTATCGGGTATGACCTCTTACGAGCTCCTGTGACCCCTGCCCTCCCGCCCGCAGATCGGCCCCGAGAAGGAGGAGTTCACAGTGGACGGCCTGACTCCGAAGAAGAAGTACAAGTTCCGCGTGAAGGCCGTGAACAAGGAGGGCGAGTCTGAGCCCCTCGAGAACGATGAGCCCATCACGGCTCGCAACCCCTACGGTCAGTGCCAGTCGGAATATTAGAACATGTATAGATTGATAAATGATGGACTATATATGCAGATACATGATTCTGTGTGTGTGTGTGTGTGTGTGTGTGTGTGTGTGTGTGTGTGTGTGTGTGTGTGTGTGTGTGTGTGTGTGTGTGTGTGTGCGTGTACATGCTCATCATCCCTGTTTAACACTTGCTCCTTCAACGCGCAGATGAGCCAAGCAGGCCCGGCAAGCCCGAGATCATCGACTACGACAACAAGTCGGTGCAACTCCGGTGGACTCCCCCCGAGAAGGACGGCGGCCGCCCCATCACCCACTACCACGTGGAGATGAAGGACAAGCTCTCCGTAGAATGGAAGGAGGTTCTGCAGACGCCGGACACCAAGTGCGAGTGCACGGTGCCAGACCTGAAGGAAGGCACCATCTACAGCTTCCGTGTCCGTGCTGCCAACAAGGCTGGTGTCGGTGAGGCCTCCGAGCCCACCGAGAACCACCTGTGCAAGCACAAGAACTGTAAGTACTTTTACTTCCCCATCATTTCCCTTTCCATAACGTAGTACTTAATGCAATATCAGAGAAAGTATAATTCACTATTCATGTTATTCCATTATACACAAATAAGGCCAGACATAGTGAGTTATAATGTCCCTCCGTAAAATGAAAACCTGTAAGCAGAGAGCACAGCATGAGCGCCTACCTTCCCTTGCAGTGAAGCCGCGCATCGACCGCACCAACTTCAAGTCGGTGACCATCAAGGTGGGCCGCAGCCACAAGTGGGCGGTGGACTACATCGGTGAGCCTGAACCAGAGGTGGAATGGATCTACAAGGACACCGTCCTGTCCAACAGCGACAAGATCCATATCGAGAACACCGACCACCACACCGAGTTCTCCATCTCCAATGCCCAGAGGAAGGACGCCGGTCTCTACACCCTCAAGATCGAGAACCGCAACGGCAAGGACCAGGAGACGGTCGAGCTCGTTGTTCTCGGTAAGTGATGACGGCACCGGTGTTTCTTATGGTCGGTCTTTTAAAAAATGGAACCGTTCATCTCTAAAAACACGAAAACACAATAATAAATGTAAGCACATTGTGTTCAATCCCGCAATGCATTTTGTATTATGATGATGCGGCAGCAGGTGTAGCCACGGTATTTCTTAGAGGCACATACAGCTAGCCATAGATGTCTCCCATTGTCCTCATAATTAAGCAGCAGCTTTTCCCGACAAAGCGACGCGCATGGAGTCTCACGCCCTCTCTCGTGCCCGCAGGTCGCCCCACCAAGCCCAAG